CCTCTGCAAGAGCAATTAGGTAGGAGGCCCTAATGACTGAGGGAGGCAGAGGTTGCTGAACACAACCCAACCTCTTTCCACTGGCTGCAGTTGCTAGTGAGGCACAGGAATGCTGTTTTCAAAAGCACACTGGGCCACAGGTTCAGTGAAACCATGCCTTTCTGCAGGTGAAATGCCACACGATAGTGTCTCACATCAAGGGGATGCACCAGCCTATTACATGTATCAGCATTTCATGGGGGTCTTCAAGTTCACACAAAGCCCTCCAAGGATAAAGTCTGCATTCAGATCTCCAGACCCAAAGCCACCCCAAACAAACAGAAATATACCCATACAGACTATCCATTCTCCCTTTCTTCAGGCAGTTTGTGCCTGAGGATATACATTCCCAAATCACTATTGACTGATTAACTCTCTAGCACATAAATCCAGTTCTCTGCACTTGAAGTCATGCGCATGGCCACCAGTGACTTAATCATAAGCTGGATGGTTGATTACTCCGGATGAAGGAGGTAGGCTGGAAGCAAAAGCATCTAGAGAGCCTACTTAGAAGTGTTTCTAATGCCATCATCTTCCAAGTAGGATAAACTAAGAGCTGAGATAAATGTGGAAGTGGCTCTTTGCATTGAGAAGATACACACAGGTTCATGCCTGCAACTTGGGGTTGGACTAGATGATCTCCCAAGGTCCCTTCCAACCCTTGCGATTCTGTGAACTCCTCAGAGGTGAGAAAGATGAGGCCTAGCCCCAAAGGCTAGACATCAGAAGGACCCAGCGCTGTTCGATGGGAAAAGTCCATCACATGTCAGGAGCTTTGAGGTCCACTAGCGCTGTTGACCATGCCCAATACGAGCCTTTGGTGAGGATACATTAATGCTTTGGGGGGACACATAAGAATTGGGCAAATTAGTCCCTTCTGCATAAGATGAGGGTGGACCTGAATGTACGACAAAGCCCTGGATCGGATCCTTTATGGAGACTGGAGAGCATTTATGTTTGCTTGACCTAGCATTTCTATTTCTGAGGAAATCAGCATGGAGTATTTGCAGGGATATCTGAAAAGGAGGCAGGCGTTTCCTCTTGCATACAAATGAGACACCTTTATCTGAATTTCTGTTTGAACAAGTATTAAAGAAA